TACTTTATCAATTACAGCGTTATACCGAATATATTTGATTCAATCGATAAATAAGGCGTTGGATTATCACCCTGATCAAATCGTTGTTTAGCTTTAACCCGTTCGCCATTCGTTATGGTGCGCTCATTTAAAATTTCTAGTGTTGTTAGATGATATATAGCCAGTTCCTGAAAATGAGGTAGCTTGCAAACAGGATTTCCGTCCATTGATAACTGAACTAAGTCTCGTAACGGCCGTAGTTTTCTTATGGGTCCCATCTACATGTACGTGAAATAAAATAAAATTGTATGAGAGTCATGACTAACTTGTAGAACCTATGTCTGACAAATATGGATAAGTAACTATACAAGCTCGTATTCTTACCGTAGAAACGTGATTGTTTGATATGCGAAATACTTGAAGTGATTTAAGTTTTTTCATCGTAGAACCAGGAATGGTATCGATCAAATTATTACTAACATCCAACTTTTGCAATTGCACTAAAGTCTGTAAACCTTCAAGACGTTCAATATAATTATATTGTAAATATAATTCTCTCAGTTTGGTAAGAGAGTCGAGGCGTTCTATTTTCTCTATCATATTAAAGCTTAAGTTCAATACTTGTAACTTTTTTAGATTATCCAAATTTTCAATCGTCTAGATTCAAGAATATTAAAATTAGATCAGGTATACAAGATGCATGTATAAGATCTAACGCCGTACTAAAATTGACCAACACGGCGGCTACAAATGGGATATTCCACTATTTGCTAATTACCAAGTTATATTTGATGTAGAGGATAAGGATAAGATACTGTTACTGATTATGAGATTTTAATAATTACTGTAGTAAGTGTTGATAGCTACGATGTTTTGCTGGTAAACAGTGTAACAGCTATAGATGTATGCTACTAACAATTAAACATCATACATTGTAGATAATACAGCACAGCGATCAATTTTCTAAGAGCATTGACAATATTTTGGAATTTTAATATTGCAATATGAAGCTGGAGTGCATTTATTTATGTAGACGTATTTAGCTTATGATTGATCGTGTTCCGTAATGACTACTTTAGTATAAGATAGATAGAAGGGGTTATAATAAGAGCGGCAGAAAATGGATGCCTAATAAGTTTAGCTTGAATTATGGGTTGCATAATCTTCGTACCTTAATTTTCTTTTGATTCTTAGAATTTGATAAATTTAATACGGTTATGTTACGAAGCTCATCTTCTTTTGTAATGTGTTTTATTAACACTTCGGTAATATAGCAAACACCGAACTTATCGTGGCCGGGTTCACCCTCTTTTTCGGTAGATAAATCTATGGATAATAATATAAGATGATATTATTTCTCAGACATGTTAGCAATGTTTCTATAGAAAGAAGCGGAGTGACTTTGTATATCATGACATTAAGTGACAAACTGAGAAGCAGAATTGCAAGTTTGAGCAAAGACAGTGATGACTGAAATTGATTCTCGATACATTGTATCCAATGCTGCGTTACCAACCTGAATCTTGCTTAACTGGTTTATCGGATTCGTTAGCGGATCCCGCTCGCGATCGTCCAAACCGACGTTGTCTTTTACTTGCCATATCCATGGATGCCAGATAATATCAGTCTAAACAGAAAGTATGTTTTAATAAGTTGCAAAGAATATCGTCATCTTGTACAGCTTGAAGGAAGCTACTCGTCTTGCTAAAAGTTAAAGCTCATACTGTATGATAATCATAACAGTCAAGGGTACTACAATCCAAACTGGCAGAGACAGTATCGTAGTGTACAGTAGTTATTTCTACTAGCGTACAATTATTTACTGTTTTCAATGTAGTCAGAAAGAAAATTTTCTGAGTTTACTTTACTGGAAACTGTTCATTTTCTTTCGATTTTTATTGCAGTGCGGAGCGCCATCACAAGCGCGTCATCAACGCTAGTATATAAAATATTGTAATAGTACAGTACTGTAGTGATGGGCTACAGCTGTCATAATGGAAGGGCTGGAGAATTATATTTTAAATTGTAGATCAAAAGCTGGAGATTTTTAGATATGGTCTCGCATGGACAGAGCTATAAGTATAGGAGCATACATTGAGGCAATAGCATAAACTGTACAGGATTACTTGGTAACGGAATTAGATCCAAATACTGCAAGTAGTTAACACCTTGTAATAATATTGGATTTCAGCTGGGAAAAGTAATGATATGCGAGTTGCTTAGCGATATGATTTCTTTCTGTATGGGCTCGCTAATTTGCGATATTTATCACATCATCATAGGTTTTTGGGGTATAGGAAAAGCGTATTGTAAAATACAGCTGCAGTTTGCATCGCTTATTGACTGTTTATCTTGATAACATTGCATAGCGTATAATCCATTAGAAATCCTCTTCCATCGTCATCATCATCGATTTTGGGGTATAGGAAAGCGTGTTGTAAAATACAGTTGCAGTTTGCATCGCTTATTAACTGTTTATCTTGATAACATTGCATAGCGTACAGTATAATCCATTAGAAATCCTCTTCCATCGTCATCATCATCGATTTTTGGGGTACAGGAAAAGCGTGTTGTAAAATACAGTTGCAGTTTGCATCGTTTATTAACTGTTTATCTTGACAACATTGCATAGCGTATAATGAATAAGTTATTGATAAAATCGCAGGAGATTGTACTGTTTTAGCCGCAATTAGTCTGATAGTTGAAATATCAGACACATTCAATAAGTGAAAGTAGGCAATGATGCAAGTTCATCGTATTTATTTGACATGAGGTAATAAAGAAATCCTCTTCCATCGTTCTGTTCTATTATTAGATTATGTTTATGAATTCATTGATGAATAAGATCCTACTATTTTCCTGTACTGTATATATATATATATAACTTATAAAGGTCTATTTATTTACAGTGGGGAAAATATCATTTTCTACAAGTAGGAGTGCAATGCAATGATTGGCTGCAATAGGATCAAATTGAGCAGATTTCAGTTCCCGTCAGCTGAAAGTAAACTTGATTTGTTGGGCTCGTTTAGAATTGAAAAATGAACTCTACTATAGGACAGAGATCCATAAGGATAATTTCAGTCTTTTCCTAGGATAGATGGATTGTTATCATTTTGCAATCTACAGTATGACGTCTAGACCTTATGAGCACTAGTTGCCGTCAGAACTATACTAGTTTACTGTGTAGTGGGTACTGAGTACTGGATTCATTTGAAATAGCTAGGAATAGATCCATTGATCGATCCATCATACCTTACTATACAATGTAATGGTATTGCTTGGTCGATTTTTAAATACGATAGGATGAAGATTTTGTAGAAAAATGTCGATGCAAGTTGCAGCCCAATCTTCCAACTCATTTATCATTCCAAGTTATCGTATTTATTTGCTATATTTTGCAAGCAACATGTTGTCATCTGGAACACTTTACGTGCAATTACGTCGACTTACTTCACTTCCCAGCTGCAATTCCGGCGTCTCCACAATCTAGTGGTCGATCGGCAGCCGGTCGATTCCTTGTCGTCGTCTATTAGATACGATTCCAATTGCAAGTCTAGCCTACGCCAATCGGTTGGCTAAATTATGCTGAAAATGAATTTTCTTCCTCCAATTTCTCCAGTCTTGATTATATCATCATGAATGATTCATTAATTAATTAATGATCATCGCTCGCAGTGTAGTACGTACCACAATGATGCTTCACCGGAGAAGTGGGATTGACGCGCTGGACACTGAGTCTAGTAAAGCAGTCATACATGTACACCACGTACCACACAATGCGTTGTAGAGAAGCGCATACCGTGCAATGTTTACCTACAGATACAGTACAGTACAGCGTATCCAGTAATGTATTGTACATGTATTATTATTTTTTTTTTTCCGCCTTTTTTGGTAACCCAATTGAAACGAACGCTTTGATCAGCGGTGGCGGTAACTATGGTTATTGGTCTTACGCGTTGTCACGGTTGTGTACTAATGTGTACAATAGTATACTGTAGAGAGGCTTCAAAGGGTCTCTAGTCTACCGTCGTCAGGTCTACAGTAGTACTGTACTGTCCTCTACTTGCACTGCAGCGTTCGCTTCGGTAGCATGGTGTAAGCTAACTTACTCTACTGTATACGTACAGTATTATGATTGTACAGTACAGTACAGTAGACTAGGAGCCATGTTACAGTACTGTACAGTACAGTACTGTACAGTATGGTTTGAAATACTGTACTGTATAGTACTGTACACTGTACAGTTGTACTGTACGTGATGAGTTACTGTACTGTACTGTGCAGTATAAAGTGCTGTACTAAGAAAGAACTGTACAGACGTACAGAACCCTGGACATCAGTACATGTACAGTACTATACAGTATACAGTGTACTGTACACTTGTACAATGTACAGTACCGTAAAAGAACTGTACAGACGTACAGATTCCTGGACACTGGTTCAAGTACTGGATACTGTAATGTGAAAGAACTGTACAGATGTACAGATCGCTGGACACCGGTACAAGTACTGTACTTTAAAAAGAACTGTACAAGGTACTGTACAGATCCCTGGACACCGGTAGTGTACTATACTGTAAGTCTATAAGTGTACAGTACTACAGTACAGTACTGTATATTGTATACTGTAATGTAAAAGAACTGTACAGACGTACAGTTCCTAGGACACCGGTACAAGTACAGTACAGTACTGTAAAAGAACTGTACAGTACAGTGTACAGTACAGTTCCCTGGACACCGGTACAAGTACTGTAAAAGAACTGTACAGACGCACAGATCCCTGGACACCGCTTTGCATGTCTGCATGGTGCTGTGCTGATGCACCCTATTTTCTGTCAGTCCGTGAACAGTATAGACAAGTGAGGTTTCAAGAGAACAGTCATAGTGGACATCGTACCTTACCAAAGTACAGCAGAATCGTCGCTGCAGCAATTCTTGCAAAGCGAGGTAGTAGTTCACGTAGTAGATCACAAATCTCTATCTGCGACTCCATTTCAATGTAACTAACTTTGCAACAAGATGAGTAGTGGACATGTAAGGAATATTTCGCGGTTAAGAGCCAAAATTTTCGGTCGATTGCCTTTTAAAACTGATCCTAAGTAAGGCCAACTCTAAATGCGTACAAGTGCTATTACTATGCTAAAGTTACTGCAGTTCTGCATGACGAGCGTGGACATCAACTGGGATTATCTTATTATATTATTAAACTATAACAACTACTTTTCTTCATAGATCTTATAAAGTGGTCAAAGCTTTTCGACAACAACCTAAAGGTCCACAGATTGTGGAATATACGCAACCTATTCAACGTTTCAATTCTCTCCTCCTTCGATTGCGCCATATGGGATTATACACAGATGAGCACTTGGTAAAGTTTTGTAATAGGACTCTTACTAGTGGACGAGCCTGAGCCTGTATATTATACTGTACAAATACAGCTCATTTATTCATTTCATCAACATCAATCTGTGTAAGATCGGGAACTTAACTTTATATTACCTTAATGCTACAACTCTAGGACTTCATAGATGAAAATGAGCAAAAAAGAAGATTGAAAGGAAAAGTTCCACCAAAGAAGGGTAATTATCGAGCGCATGTCATCAGTCGTAGACTGTGTATTTAAAACATACATCTTCGCTGAGAAAACGCTAACTAATTTGATATTATTGATTCGATGTTTTATGCAACAAGTTATAGATTCTAGTTCAGTCTATCCACTTATCTTATATAGTCATAATTGATATCAAAGATAAAGTCAAATGCTAGCTGATTCAAATTAGGTTCTGCAGCTATACCGTAGCAAAATGTACTTTAAAAAAGTATTGAGGGATCATAGCAAGAATTGAATTGACATTACTACTGTATACTCCGCATAAATGTTAGCAATTCCTCTTTTGAAGCTTTACAAAATATGAAGATAAGCTTAATCCTGTCCTTATCATGGCATTATCATTTATAACATAGGGCAAGGTAGAAGATCTGCAAAGAAGAAGTAACCTGAAAGCGCATCAATATTTATTTATTCTTGAACTTGATCAGAGAAATTTCCAGTATTTAGTGGAAACGATATACCTACTGTATATTCTAATACATATCTGTGGTAATAGTTAGACCTGTTTTTATCCTTGTCAATGAAGCAGTTATTCTTTTGTCACATCCGAATAAGATCTGATGCTGTTTGTACAGTATATGTTGTACAAATTTATGGAGCAGGGATAGGTATAAAACCACTGTGTAAAGGAGGTCGTATTGGCGATGCATTGATAGCCGTCTGATCGCAACACCCTATATACGGTACAGTATATGAAGCAACCCTAACATTTATCATTTTTAGATACCGCTATAATAATATATCATCAGAGTTCTTAGAGTAACAACATGTGTAAATTCGAATAACTAGACTCTAGATTTATAACCAAGAAGTAATTGACAGTACTAGAATATCAACTTCATGCTCCAATTTACATTGCTGTGTATATATACGATATAGAACCCAATGTTGTCTAATACAGTATGTGTAGAAATGTAATGGGGGAATAAATTCGATTAAGCCACATGTTGTCTCTTGGTCTGCGTTGATTCACACATTCATTTCGACATAATTCCCTTTTTAAAGGATTTCGCTAAACTAGTGCATGACAGCTGCTAAGTTTATTTAAATATATTAATTTGTTCATATTTATAAGCAGTATTTCTGATATTAGTCCAGTTTTCTTATCGGTTGAGCTAACTTTGCTAGCTGTTGATTGTGTTATAAATTAATCTGGTTATATAGTATCACTGACGTAAAGAATGTCACCAAGTATTGTAGAGACGGATAACAAAATGGCTTCAATAAGAAACTAGCACTCTACTTTTTCTACGATCTACTGTGGAGACTAAGAATTAACGTTTTGATATCGTTCATTGACTTTGAACACACTGGATTACTTAAGCTCTTTTCGACATAATTAAGTTTTTCCTTCTTTAATGAAGGATGGCTTGATATATGTATCTACTGTATGCGCATATTTATATCTACGTATATCTACAGCATATCTATTACGAGTGCATTAAAAAGACATTATTCCGTTTTTATCGATCTGATATGCCTAGACAAACGGAGCAATTCTATGGGTTAATCAATTTTTCAGTATTTTCACTCTATCCTTTTTATATTTTGTTCTTTGGAACGGATGAGGAGGAAGTTATAAAATACTGCTTCACCCATAGACTACTAGAAGATAACCCAGTTAGTTTCCCTGTAGTAGTCCATAGCTTTACTGTACCAGAGGCTTCTAATATTATTACAAGAGAAAATTCTTATGTATCAAAGTGCGCGAGTATGCGTCAACAAAGTATGCCTGAAAGACTGTATTACGTAATTAATTTCAACTCCAGTACTCTGGACTACGAGAAGAAAATCTGCAATAGCAGTTTTCTTCTAGTAGTTCCTAACATTACCTACACTCCTACGGTAGTATCCTATCATACGTATACTGAAGTTTTGTACGAAATAGGTATTTAACGAGGCACTGTACATGGACTTCTAAGAAGAGAAATGCTTAGAAGTCCATGTATTAATAGCACGGTAAAAATTACCGTCGAGGTATCATCATCGAGCTACAAATGCAACATCCTTCATATTCACTCCAAAATCGCAGTGTACCAAGAAGCTCAGCCTCGGAGCCTATAAATAATAATTATTTTAATAATTTTAAATAGAATAATAATATAATTAAATAGTATCTTACTATCTAACTATCTGAACTGAATCTTTGACACGTCTAATCACTTTATCACTCAATTAACTCAACGTGATAACTAAAAAATATAAGTAAACTCATTCATAGTACAATTGAAAGACTAAGAGATTTTAATAATAAAGCAATGTTTTTTTAGTTGCCTTCCTATTTCTAGCTTTTTAGGTTATACGACTACAGTACCGGTACTGTAACTTATGATGCAAGCGCTAGTAAGTCAAAAGGAAACTAAGTCCCATGTCTGTACCTGTATGGATCATTTCGCTGCTTGTGTTTTCAATATCAAGTCCAATCCGAGCAGACAACGATCACCTGCCAAGTATGCATTAGTTATCGAACTATTGCTGAATAGTCTTACTATTAAGACTATTCAGCAATAGAATAGTCTTACTATTCAGCTAAGATTATAATTTTGATCCTTTTCCTTAAAAAAATTTGGTAAAATAGACTAAACATATTTAAAATTATAGTACAGTACATTGTCGATTGCCGACCCTGAGGCGAAGAACAGTCTTCGGTAAATGTCTTAAAATTAATAATTTCATCCCGATCTTTGTTTGGCGAAATCTTACGTAGATAGCAGTTTAAAAGGAGTTCTGTATTCAATTGATTACGTAATAACTTGGCGTTTTGTCACTCCACTAATAGGGATACTATATTTAGTTTTTTTATTTTGGTACTATAATAGCTATAACATTTGCTAGCAGTTAAGTTACACCTAATAACCTTGACAAACCAAACCAGATAAAATAACTAGCTTCTAATATATTTGTTTATCAGAGTAGATAATTAACGCATCTATTGTAATCAACAAACTAAATTAATCTTAATTCCATTCATGCTTTAATATTTAATCCTACTTCTTCGTACTTCAAATGGGAAATAGTTATTTCTACAATCCTACGAAGGAGAATTCCAAAAATGTACCTTCAGTATAGTACCGTACATAACGAGTACTATACTTGATAGAGACGGACTGGTATTGTTTTGTTTTTTTAAACGACTGTAAATTAAGTATGCTCATTTTATGCTGTAATTTTTAATACTTGATGCCGATGAAAATAAACCTTGCCCAGCTAGAACTTGTACACTCTTTGCAGTATGGCTATTATGGCTTACCGTATAATATTACATTTGGGATAAGATTTAATAATGACGGTTTAAGAAACAAATGTTTAACTTTTGCCAATTACTGTTTTCTTAGAAATGATACCGTTGTTGACAATAACCATAACACAATTATTACCGATGCTTCCTGTTCTAACTTGAAGATAGGTGGCTGTTCTATGTACAATATTACTTAGTACTTCAAAAGTGGACAATGGATAGCATTGGTAAATATAATTTTGTGAGACTATTTATTGCAATTTTAATTTATTTTCTCCGCGCCAAATCGTTTACTAGAGTATTTCACATCACAGACAATGTGCAAGTATAAGTCTGCATGCCTTCACGTTACTTATGATATGGAAAATTAATGTAACTGAAATTGTTTAAGAACTTTTTACAGTTTCCAAGGAGATCATCCATCGCTGTTATCGTCTAACCTTTTTACTCTAGTAATATCATGAAGGTCTTAATAGTTCAAAGACAAAATCAATTGTCACTAGCAAGATAAACTGACTGGATGATATTTTGAACCAATATACGCGTTTTTTCAAATTACAGTGATTGCAATTTCGTCCGGATGATTCTTGCAAAATTCTCACTTCTCTACACTTTCTAATCTGCACACAGGTTCTTTTAAATATTTTGGTCAGAAACCTCCTTTATAAAAAATTATTTCTTAATAATGAATTATTTGTTATGGATTCGCCTCATAATGTAACTATCTTATAATGTATAAGTTGCAGTAATAATCCTACCGCAAGTAAAATATCTAGGAATACTACTGAGGGTATACGTTATAGCCACAAAAATGGCAATATACTAGAAGCTTATTTAATTTTATGATTGAAATAGTGTCCTTTTCGGTTAATCAATATAGTAAATTTATAGTTCATGGTGATCTACCGCCGTTAAAATTTCGAGATCAAAAGTGATCCTTAATATATGTTATGTATGAATATCTAGTTAATACTTTTGACTGTATTAAAGACTCATACTACTCTCAATCGGCCCGAGAGATAGGAAATTGAACAAGCAGTTGAAGTTATTGTAAAACTAACCGCCCGCAACAACATCATCAGTTTTGCTGGTATTAATTTCGAATTGTGGATGCAAATTGTGTATCAGTTGCCAACATAAGTAAAACGCTATATCCATCAAAATTCACGATTTATCCCGGAATCGACATCAAATGTGTGGAATATTTTCATATCAGTATCGTATTTATACTTCATACGACACTCTAGATAGCGGCCAAAGTCGAAAATTAAAAAAAAATCTCGACCCTATAACTGATATATTACAGTAAATTTTGATTGTCCTTTACCAGTAATATTATGATATAATCATCTTCAGCTACACTTTAGACGTAATTTTGTTAAAAAAAGAAAAATAAATAATTTAATATTTTCATGTTTATGCTTTGCATATTGTATTACATTTATTACTAGCTAAGGTGAAGAAACTTAGGAAGATTAAATATCGTAGAATAGGATTCTGTACATTAATTGAGTACAATATAAATTATTAATCATTATTTACTTTATCCAATCTTTTGCCGTTTAAATTTTATAATTATGCTTGAAGAAATTGAACAGTTGAGTATCTTTCCATTTATGTTCTGTACCTTACTTTTAAAATTTTACTAATAGTTAGCGTGGAGAATTAGTAAGGTATTTCGGTATAGCCATTGGTGATCATTGATCTCTTCTTCAATTCGGACACTTATTCTTGGAGATTGACTGTCTTAGCTCTACTTTACACCTAAGCTTATATTGGATTCCGAACGATTAAATATCTCCTATCAATGTTTCTTTAAATACAGTACCACGAAATTGTCCTTAGTACTTAGATGAATCTGATTGGACATTACACGTTTTTCATCAATTTTTCCGTGTTTATTTACATTCTGTTTTTTAAGGATGTACAATAAAAACTTACTTGTGGTAGTAATCCTATTTTAGTTTCCTCATTAAACATATGAAAATAATTAATGCCCGCATTTGCAGACATAAATAAAGTTTTACAGTTTATAAATAATCATTGTAATCTATTCGATTAGAATATTGATGAAAGTCGTGAACTTCCGTATTTTATAGTTTGTCATCATCTCGCAGAGCACTTTATCTCGTCCATAAATGAAATATTCAATATAGCTGCTTGTACTATCGGATTAGTATGAAGCTAATTAACTATTGGATGGCAGATATATTAGAAATGGATCAAGCAAGACTTTTTTTGTTGGTCCTACTTTTCAAATGTACTCTGAGTGAACCTAAAGGCATTTGTGCCGAAGAAAACAATTTATTAGGTATTATTGGCACGATTGTCGTTGAAAGATGGATAATAGCTATACGAATATTACTTTATGCTAATGCTTGATCATCTTAGATTCTATAAACTCAAGACATATCCAATAATATTAAATAAATGATCCTATTATATTCTTAGTAAATGATTAAAAAAATAGAGTATCATAGCTCTTAAAAATAGCAAATAATTGAAAAAAATTGTTCTAGTCATTGCAGACTGCATTATGTAAGCTACATTGCCTAGATTTGCAAGAACCCGATTCTAGTTGGTACACTAATGGTAGCTTAGAGTGAATTTTATGCTAAATTCTATTTGACTGTTTACTTCCATTTCAACTTTCTAGTTGACACTTGTCGTAGTTTAAGATAAGGATTTGAGTATTTGATAGTGACGAATTATTCTTATTTTTACTATTTTAAACGAAATTTATTCTGGAATTGAGTATGCACTTTTTTATCGTCTATTTTCATGGTCTATTAAGATGGACAATACTGTGAAGTATCTCCCTTTCCATCACCACAATATGGATACTACAAATTTCCGTATAATCTTACATTTGGAATAAAATTTAATAAATTCGACTGCAGGGATGAATGTGTGAAAGAAACACAATTTTACGATATTTGCCAAGATAATGATATTAGGCCTATAGTCTATGATAGTACAAAGATCATTACCAACTTTGCTTCTTGTTCGTCGGCGATGAAAAAAAAGTGTTACTTATAATTTTATTC